GTGTCCCTGGGTAAGACACTGAACTCCTCATTGCCTCCGATGTGTGCCCCATCAGTGTATGAATGTGATAAAGCACTGATTAGTCTCTTTAGAATGATTTGTTCAATTAGCTTTGTAAATATATAGTGGACTGCTGTATGACAGGGTAAATGAGGACATAGATTTTAGTGTATGTGGGTGTGGCAATATGGTGCCAGTGTGTTTGGCGAGTCGTCTACCAGTCTCTATTTTTTTGTTTTTATTGTTGTTTCTGTGCTTTCCTGATGTGAACTCTCTACTGGTGTATGATTGCCAAACCCTATTGGGGCTTCATCTGCCTACTGCAAAAGTTTTATTTCGCTGTCATGAAAAGCATGATTATTTGCCCTTGCTGTTGGCCGGAGTTCCATCTTACCTGTGTCGGGCACCACACCCCCTCGCCGGAGAAGGTGTCACCAGTGTCGAGGTAATTACGGCGGGCTCTTGGTGAGGTTGAGGACTGGTTTGGCAAAATCGCCGGGAATCTTCCTCTCCCAGCTTGGATCAGTCCCTGGACTGTATGCTTCTCGGTGCTCCTTGGACCCTGTCGATTCCTGGCTGGTACCTGTTGTCAACTCGGATCAACGCTTTTTTCCTCCGCGTCTCACTCCTCCACATCTGTGCTGACGAGGTGCCAACCTTGGAAATCTGCTACACCTTGCACAGATAATTCCTTCTACTGCTTCACCAGACCCAGTTCCCATCAGGATAGGTCTGGTAAATGCAAGATCGGTTGCAAACAAAATTTTTATTGTGAAGGATTTTTATTCGTCCCAGGGTTTGGACTTTCTCTCCGTGACTGAGACGGATTTCTTCGGGTGAGTCCAGTGTTTTTTCAGCACTATTACCCCAAGGCTGCTCATACCCCAAGGTTCTTGGGTCGTGGAGGAGGTTTGGCGATTATTTAAAAATCAAGTTTTGATTGTAAGCAGCTGTTCCTCCCGACTGTGTTTTCTATCTTTGAACTGAGCATGTTTGAGTTGGGCTGTGCTCCTCCGCTTCTGTGCTTCTACCGGCCTCCTAAGTATAATAAGGACTTCATATGGGACTTTTCTAATTTATTGGGTGATTTTACGTCCAAATATGAGCAATTTTTAATTATTGGAGATTTTAATATTTACATGTTTTGCACTGGAAAGCCGCTAGTGAAGGATTTCTTAGATGTAGTGGATGCTTTTGGTCTCACTCAGTCAGTGAAGGGCCCATCCGATGAATGTACGCACACCCTGGACCTTGTTTTATCTTATGGTTTATCTATTTGTAACTTGAAAATTGGTGATGCATTGTTTTCAGACCACATGCCTGTTTTATTTGATTTTATTCCTGTTTCTAAACCTGTTAAGTCCTGTGCTTCTGCTCAACGCTGCCGTATTTATAACTTGTCTTCTGCTGCCCATTTCTCCACTGTCTTTAATCGTTTAGATTCACAGCTTTCTGTGTCTCTCAGCACTAAGGAGCTTTCCTTATATTTTGATTCTTTATGCCATTCTGTTTTGAATGATGTGGCCCCGATTAAAACCAGGCGATCAAACCCAAGATCGGACCCATGGTTGAGTGACCATACCTGTGCCATTAGACAGGATTGCAGGAGAAATGAATGCAAGTGGAGAAAGGACAAACTCCAAGTCTCTTTTGATATACCGAGAGAGAGTTGGCATCGCTATCAATAAGCTGTGAAAACAGCCAGAGCAAACTATTTCTCTGTCATTATTGCTGCTAACTCTCACAACCACTGTGTTCTTTATAATACAATCAACATTTCCCTCAATGCACATGAACCGGTCCCTCTTGAAGCATCCAGAGAACTTTGTGATAAGTTTCTTCATTTTTTTTCTTGGACAAGGTTATTAACACTAGAGCTTGTATCTCTTTTCCGTCCCATGACCTTTCCATCCCAGCATTCCATAAATCTAGTCCTCTGGACATTGAAAAAACAATTGTAGAAACATTTCGTCTTTCATCCGAAAGACTTCCTCAGACTGAGGAAGTCTTTCGGATGAAAGACGAAACGTTTCTACAATTTTTTTGTTTTGTTTTTTTGAATGTCCAGATGACCAGATTTAACTGTGGTTTTTTTTTTAGATTTTTCTACCTGGATTATTGAGCATGCATCAGGGTATTTGGAAAAAGTTGTTTACACCCAGCTGAAGGCCTTTTTGGATGAATTTAAAATTTTGGAGATCTTCCAGTCTGGTTTCAAAATGTACCACAGCGCTGAATCTGCTCTTTTAAGGGTTTTTAATGACACATTTTTAGCACTGGATTCTGGAAACTGTGTTTTACTTGTGCTTTTAGATTTAACAGCTGCTTTTGACACAGTCGACCTTGACATTCTCATCTTTAGATTAGAGCAGTGGGTGGGCATCACTGGCTCAGCTCTGTAATGGTTTAGGTCCTACCTTTCTGATAGAAGTTTCAGTGTGATGATGGATAATTTTACCTCTGCTTCTGCTGCCCTCCCCTGGGGTGTACCCCAGGGCTCTATTCTTAGTCCTCTCCTGTTTTCACTTTATCATTTGCCACTGGGTTCTATTTTCAGAAAACATGGTGTGCAATTTCATTTATATGCGGATGACTGTCAAGTCTACTTCCCTTTGAAATATAATGGCTTCACTCAGTCTCTCCTGGACAGTCTTGATGACATTAGAGGATGGATGGCACTTAATTGCCTCCATTTTAACGAAAAAAAAAAAAGAAGGCTGATGTTATGGTCTTTAAATCCTGTGGTACTCGCAGTTTCCCCACCTTTGAATTTTTTTCTTTGGCCCCATATGAAAAATCCATTGTGACAAATTTAGGAGTGAAAATGGAACCCTGCCTGAAACTTGACTGCCATGTTAACAACGTGTTTAAGTCATCTTTCTTTCAGCTGAGGCGCCTGTCAAAAATCAAGCCACTCCTTTCTAGGCACCACTTAGAGATGGTAGTCCATGCTTTTATTTCTTCACACCTGGATTATTGTAACTCTCTCTTGATAGGAGTTAGCCAGGCCTCACTTTCACGGTTACAGCTGGTACAAAATGCTGCTGCAGGATTTTTGCCTGTTACAGGCAGGTGTGAGCACATCACTCCAGTTCTAATGTCCCTTCACTGGCTTCCTGTCCAGTTTCAAATCCATTTTACAGTTCTATTGTTTGTTTTTAAGTCGATGAATGGTCTTAGTCCCTCTTATTTTTCTGAACTGCTTCACCTTTACATGTTATCACGTGCTCTTAGATCCTCCGACCAGATGCTTTTAGCAGTCCTGAAAACCTTTTATAAATTCAGAGGAGACAGAACCTTTTCGGCTCTGGCTCCTAAATTGTGGAATGAGCTGCCACTGGAGGTCAGGCAGGCCCCATCAATCTCTGTTTTAAAAACTCATTTAAAAACAACAAAGTCCATGCTCAATAATCCAGGTATACAAACCAACATTTTTCAGTCAGGTCATCTGGACATTTTCGTTTTTGGTGCTGAAACATTTCGCCTTCAATCTGGAAGGCTTCATCAGTCAAGGAAACACACAACACAAAACTGATTCTTCCACCAACAGCTTACTCCAAAGTGGAACAAACCAGTTATGTTGGTGCTAAGATGGTCTCTTTGTCACGCCCCCTCCTCCGTTGCCGGCCCTCTTCCTTGTTGACAGTCGTGTCAAACTGGTCATTTAAAAACACTTTTTTTTTCATTGGCTTTTAACCTAGAGTAAGCTAGCATCTGTGTCTTAATGTTGTATTCTTTTACTTGTGATGTTCTGAT